CTCTGTCTCTGGTGAAGCCTCTCGCCACCCCTGAGCCTCTGGCCTGTACCCCAGTTCTATATGCGCAAATAAATAAATCTTTTTTAAAAAAAAGGTACCTGGTTCTGGAAAATATGTTTTTATTTGAATTAGTACGTGTAATCTTTGTAACAGTTTGATGAAGTAATAGTATTTACATTATCCCTATTTAAAGAAACCAAGGCCCAGAAAGTTTAATAGCTTCCCAAGCTCATCTGGCAAATTTAAATCTTAACTTCAGAATCCCAAACTCTTAATTGCCATCACATATGCTTGGGGCACAATTCCTTGCCCCACACCCCCACCATCAGCAAGGATATACTGGTAAAGTGGCTTTCTGAGGGGGAGGCCGTTCATCTGTGGGCCTCTTCACTCCCATGGCGCAAGTGCTGGGGCCAGGTGCAGGCCACCCGCACCACGTCTCTGCACGCTGAGCTGGGACAGGTGCCCCCAGTCTGCCCCGATCCTGCACCCCCTCAGAGGATGGGCCATTTTCGCCTTCAGATCCCAGCTCTACTTAGAGGCACCGACACTGTCCTCTCCTAGGGGCAGAGACACCGTCCTCTCCTCAGCAGTGGAGCTGGCAGTGACATGGCTGGAGGCGGTGGGGTGGTGCAGGCTCAGGGTCCACACACGTGGCCCGGGGACACTCTGCCCTCCACTGCAGTTCCCATCCAGAAAGACGCCCCCAGAGGTGTGAAATGATGCTGTCGAGGCCTTTGGAGGATGGAGGCCCTTCTCTGTCCTTCCCTCCTTGGAAACAACTTCAAAGGAACAGTTGAAGCATTAATACCTTGCTACAGTTTTCAACAAAATAAGATAGTGCTCTTCTGTCCTTTTTTCCCTTCTCCTCAGCACTTCACACTCCCACTGCTGTTTTCCTAGCACCTAATTACTTCATTCTTTGACTAGTCTCTCTCCTCTCTGTCAGCTGTTAGCACAGCGCCAGCACCAGGCCAGGCTAGGCAGCACAGCCTTCCTGCAGCGGCTGCCACTGCCCTCGGCCAGGCTCTGGGATGCCACATCCCTAGGGACACGGGCCAGTCGGCCTTGTAAACGTCCTTTTGAAAAGGCACGTTCCGTGTTTCCTTTTTTTAACATTAAACTTAGTTTAAAAACAACAAAACGGGGCTCTAAGAATAACGTGAAATAGGATGTATTCCCCAGTCCTTGTGAAATAAGCAGGCCCTTCTATAAATTACTTCAGGCTAAGATCTTCTGAAGTAAAGGAGAGTAAAACAGAATTTCTGCTATGGGTTTTATAAAATCGTCAAATGTCTGGTGACAGCTTCATTTCCATGAAAATGAAAAAAGGCTTAGAGGGACAGCACTGTGGGAGCAGTGGAGTGAGGGGAGCACCCACAGCCCCCCTGCAAGGTGCCCTCCAGGGAGGGGGATGCCTCTCCTGGGAGGGTCCCTCGCCCACCTGCCACTGATTTGGGAGTATGTGGCCAGTGCTGGTCTGATGGTATCCAGGGTCCCTGACTCACGTTCCCTTCGCACAATGGAAACTTTCCAGGCAACAGCTTAAACTGTTCTGAAGCTCCCATCCGAGTGGTGGACCCTTGTGTTGAGGCCTCTAGCCTACAGTTTTTAAAGAAGCCAGTTAAAGACACTTAAGAAACAGAGCTGAAAAACAAGTCACATGAAGGACCAAATTACCTTTTAAATAAGAGTGGAACAAGTATTTTAAAATATAAAAGAGGGTTATTTGGCTCAGAATGGCTATTGGAGACCCTGTGGCTCAAATCTCACTGTTCTCAGGAACTGTGGCTCTGCAGTATTTCTTCCAGGTCAGCATCACTTGGCTCCTAGGGACTCAGCTGCCTTCAATCCATAGTTCTTCTGAGCAGCACTACTGCTGCCGTGTTCTATTCGAGACGGGGCATAGCTGCTCTGTCTCTGTCTCTTAATGAAATGTAGGAAGAAGAAATTTCCTTCGGGTTGGGTCCTTTAGCTGGAAAATAGTAAACTGACTCAAGAGTAACAGACAAAAAGGACATTTAATTTCATAGGAACAGAGATTCCTTGGGAAACTGGAACTCCTGGAGTGATGGATGGTGAGGTTTAGATCCTTTTTAAACAAGCAATGGGTTTGTGAAGAGCTAACAGGACAAAGACTCAGGCTACTAGTCAACAACAACAAAAAAAACTTAAGATTTTGTTCTGAACCTTGAATTTCTTGATAAAGATGTTTCTCTGCCTCCTTATGTGGGAAGGAAGGATGCCTTTCACATGGGTGAATTATTTCCTGTTTTGGAGAGGCAGGAAGGGTCAAAGCAGCATTCCTGTAGTGAGTGTTCCTCAAGTAACTTGAACTTGAAATGATAAACATGCCATTTCCACACATAATTGGGGGCTGCCCGCCCTGAGCCCCAACAATGTCTTAAGGAAAACAGAGTATAGGTGATAAGAAATTAAAGTTGGAAGTTATAATAAACAGGTTGAAAAGACATTAAGGAGATTGAGTGACACTTATACTTAACAGCGTTTCATTGTATGACTATGTGTCACTTTTAGCACAGAAGCTGTTATTCCTGTTAACCAAAGCTCTTTAAAAGTTGAGTTTTCCATGTTTTCTTACTGTGTGCCCTGCTTGGGAAACCTTAGTCACTATAAGGGGGGTGGAAGTATCTTTGACTGATGACTGAAACAGGACTCACCTGCAAGGAGACTGGTCACATTCTGATCTGCCTCATGTGTAAACAGGGATGATGATATACCCACCTCTGAGGTGTTCTAGGGAGGCCATGGCAGGCAGGGCCTGTGCGTGGCAAGCAGAATTAGGTTACTCAATGCCGGATTTTACTTGAAATAATAATTTTTTTCAACAATAATAATACATTTATGAACTTTCACACATGCCACTTCAGAGCCAGCTTTTACATTTGTTCTTATGTCTACTGCCCTACTTGATTCCAGGGGGAGCTCTGGTATTTGATGGAGACAGGTAAGAGGTTGGAGCCTGTGGCCAGTGGGCAAGGGCTGGACCTGCGCCCCTGTGCTGTTCACTCCCGGTGAGTGAATCCTCCCTGCTCAGGCTTTATCATACATACACTGTCATCCTAGAAGATGCAAAAGATTTCTAGCTACAGGTTATGTGTGGGAGAAGTGAAATATGGCTGACAAGGACTTAAAAAACCATTGACCGATGAGGTGTTTTGACCAGTTTTAGTAAAAGTTTGTCACCTGAAAGACCATTTCAGAGGAAAGTTTAGCTACTTTCAATTCTACATCGTTTATTTTGCAAAGAAGCTAAGACCCAAAAGATGAAAGTACCTGTCTGTTTGACATGGATATCAGGTTTTCAGGCCTACTCTCCTGGCCAGAAGCAGACCCCGGTCTGCGGGGGCAGCGCCGAGTCCTGGCCACTAGGCTGCCACAAGCTGTGTCTCACGAAGCCACAGCAGGAATGTCACTGACTCTCAGGCAAGCAAGCGTGAAGGGTAAATTTGTTTAGAGAAAGAAAAATTATTAAGGAGAAAAGGAACAGAAATAAAGTGGACTCCTAGGCCTGTGGAACCTGGCCAGGGTGGAGAGATGAGGGAGCTGTGCCTCAGGGAATAAATACACACTTTCTTTCCCCCTTATTCCAAAGCCCCACCTCAGTCTCTTGGTGATGAGTTAATTCTGGGTGGTCTCACTCGCTCTGTCTTAAGGTCTCGGTGCCCAGAATTCTATCTTGCTTCATAGCCCTTGAAGTCCTTTTTTTATTGCACTTGACCACAAATGTCCTGCTGCTCCTGGGGGGGGGGAGGGGTGTTTGTTTAGCCCCCTTTGTAATTTGTTGCCCTTATCTTTGCAGCCGCCCCTTAATTCCTCCGAGGTTTGTTCTATTCTCTTCTGACCCTGGAAGCTAGCTACTTGCCCTGTGACTCAGCTCTGTTTCATTCTTGTTTCCCCTGACATTATTACTTACTGGGGTGCAAGGTGGCCTTAAAGCGGCTTGTGAAGTTACATAGTAGAGTTCCACAAAATGAAAATTCAGGGAATCTTTGTGCCTGGGGTAGGGAAATGAGGGAGTGAAAGTAAAACATGGCCATGGTGAAAACTTTTGGACACTGTCCGAAACAGTGGTCTGAGCATGCTCTGTGCAAGAGTTAGTTGCTGGCAGGCCACTCAGAGGGCATAGATGATGTGACCCGCTGGGCTGATTAGTTACAAACAGGCCTTTGCTGAGTAGAAACTAACCTAGGCCTGAGTTTGAGGTGGATTTAAAATTTCCCATGGATGATTGAGAGCGTCTATTAATAGTCCTTTGGCAAGGGGCAGCATTCTCACATTATATTTACAGATCCGGTTACTAAATGCTATATAATATGTCTTATTTTGTCAGAAATGAAAGTGCAGTAAGGCCTCTGTTACCAACCAAAGAAGTGTCATAATGGCAACTTTTTGTCAGTGGTGCTCAAATCAAAGCTCAGTATTATGCCAAAGTCTAAAGTAATACTCGTTCCTATTACAGCAAATAGTTTATGGCAGAAGAAGTTATTATCTGTTGAAACATAATGTCAAATGTGCCACAAAGCTCTGTTGTACAAATTGTGGATCATAACTCTTGGATATATTATATAATCGCTGTAAGAGGTTGTACTTCCCATATTTTTTCTTTTTAATGAAATGGATTAACATAGAATGTAGTCAAATGGAAGCTGTCAGACGAAGGCTGTGTGTGTTTGTGGTTATCTGTATCACTATGTAAAATGGGGGTCCAGAGTTAGAAGCCATTACCATTTAAGGCATAAAGGAGAACAGCTGGCCAGGGTGCCTGACAGGTGGACCTGGGATTTTAGGAGTCGGGGAGTAGTAAGGAAACTCCAGGAAGAGAGGCTCAGGCTACAAGTGAGGAGGATGAGGACCCAGCAAATGTGTACCGTCCAGAAGCTGTGCTCTCTACCACTTGTGGTTTCCTGGCGCCCTGGGCGAGGCTACATAATGGGGTATAATCCTCAAAATATCATGGGTCAGCCTGGGACATAGATAAGCAACAACAGCATCTCCCACTGTGCACTTTCTCCCACCAACATAGCCCTGCCCCCGAACAAGACCAGGCTTGCACCATGGCTCACTTGTGGTGCCCAGGATAGGAGCCACGAGCCATGTGTGGCTGCAGGGCCTCTGATGCAAAGTGACACATGCAATAAGAACCATGGTTAGAACACAAAGTACTGCATTAGTCATTGTTTAAATATTGATGTGTTGAATGTATATCAAAATGATAGCACGTTAGATATACTGGATTAAATAGAATGTCTTGTTCAGTTAATTTCCCTTGTGGTTTTACTTTGTTAATCTGGCTGCTGAAAATTTTTCGGTTACACATGCAACTTACACTTATTTCTGTTTGGCAGTGCTGGTTTGGCCTGTCCTTCTGTTACTACCAGACGGACTCTAGGGGGAATATTTCATGATCACTCTTAACCTGCTTTTCAATCCTTGAAATTTCTTGAAGGAAGAATTTTTTTTGCTTAGTGATAAAATTCAAATGCACGTTTAAGTCAGTGCATTAGTGGGAATTAAGTTTTTTCCTGTAATTTTTCTATCAGTCAAGTCAATAATTGAATCTTCTTGGTGGCTTGGTAGAGAATGGAATATGGATTCCATGTTTCCTAAGGCATGGGGCTGGATAGCAGCACAAAAAGAAGCTGAAATAACAGGAGACATTTGTGCTGCCATCGATTCCACTCAAGATGCTCCCTGGGGACAGCCCTGCTGTGGGAGATTCTAGCTTGGGGAACAAATTAAAAAGCCTGATTTCAGATTATGCTTTGTTCCCTGGGGATTTCATAATTGCAGAATTTCTATAATTGGCCTTTTTTCTTCTTCCTGAGCTAAATTTGGCTCTTAGTTTGGATTTCAAAATTTCTTGCCACTTAATTCTTTTGACTATTAGGATCCCAACATTTAAAGCTATGCGTCCTCTTATGTCCCCGGTCATAATAATGAAGGGTGTGAATATTGTCCCATCTTCCTCCCTTGTGGCTCAGCACTGACCCGTCCAGCAGGATGACCACGGGACCCATTGTTCCTTGAAGATGCTATGTCTCAGACTCAACAGTTGGTATTGAACAAAGGAAAATAACTAATGTAATACTTCCTGGGGTTCTGGCTTTTGAAGAGAAAATAATTGGAAGGCCCAGTGATTGAAAGATGTTTTGAAACAGAATGTTTGATCTATTTTAACTGTTAATGAGAAGCAGTGTGGTGCTACCAACAAGTAAAAGCAATATTAACTTCTTCCCTCTGTGCCCTCACCCCTAGGAGTTGCTCTGAAACCTACCGCATGCCAGTGATGGAGTACAAAATGAATGAAGGAGTTTCCTATGAGTTCAAGTTCCCCTTCCGAAACAATAACAAGTGGCAGAGGAATGCCAGCAAGGGAACTCATGCCCCACAAGTGCCACCCCAGGTGCAGAGTCCCATGACCTCACGGCTGAACGCAGGGAAAGGAGACGGGAAGATGCCTCCTCCAGAAAGAGCTGCCAACATCCCCCGGAGCATTTCCAGTGATGGGCGCCCCCTGGAGAGGCGGTGAGTTTGCCCACCATGATTACTCTGAATCTCAGTCACAGGCCAGTCACACTGGATCTTAGGCACCAGCTTTCAGTCTTCCCAAGTTGTATTAAAATAAAGAATTAAAGCAGAGATGCATGCAGTAAGGGCCTTCAAAGCATGGTAGCATTCCAAAGCCATAAGGATAAGTGAGGCTATATTCCAGCAGACATTCAGCATTCAGCTCTGCATAGTGGTATTTGTGCTTGGCTCTTTCATTTCCATGTGGCATCCACAGAAATCCTGACTGCACACTTAGTAGCCATATGGTTTACAGCTCAGCAGACTGTGTGAGGTGACACTGACCATACCGTCATCTCGGACAGTCTTCGGCTATTTGGAATAAGGGATGTGATAGTAGCAACAGAATGCAAATGTCTGGTTGAGTGTCTGTGTCACTTTGTTAATAAATAATTATGAGAAAGAAAAACAACTGGTAAAGCTATCCAATCCAATGCTATCCAATGCTCTGAATTAGCATAAACTAGCAGATAGGGCAAAATGAGCCAAAGGAGAAAGATTGAAGGATCCCAAGAAGGAAGAAACAACAAGAAGCTTTGTTGTTAAATTATAAGTTACAAATGATAACACTCTTTTATCAAGGATGCCCTAACAGTTTTGTCTGAAATTCACTGTCAAATATAACACATTGAACTCGGATCCAGGCTTAAAATCCTAAGCTAGATTAATTAAAATATAAATAGAAATTGGCTATAAAAAAATAATCACATTATTAGTTACCCCAAATTATCGATGCTAATGAAGGAGACTGATTCACTAAGCTGCTGGGCACCGACTAAGAAGAAACCAACCTCTTTCTGTCCTTTCCCCATCGCTTCTGCTTGGCTTGGTCACATCTCAGGATGTGGCCACCTCTCAGGATGTGAACCTGTGTCTCTGTTCCAGGAACTGTGCTGAGTAGGCAGAAGCGTCCCTAGGAGAGCCCAGAGGTCCCAGAGGCCCTGGCATGCCTGAGCATCAGGACCCAGGCCCAGCAAGCACAGGCAGCCCAGGAGGAAGGCCCAGGTAGCCCCTGGCTCAGACCGAGTGTGCTCACACGAGGTGGCATTTAGTTTGGCTTTTGAGCTGTTGCATAAACATCATCACACAGCTATTTCAGAAATACCAGGATGCCATGTAGATAAAGTTCTATTAAAACAAAAATACGAACAAAAAGTTAGTTGTCTTTCTCAAGTTCCTCATGGATCCCTGGAGATTTTTGTCCAGAACCTTGCTGTTTATCTCAAAGATTCCTTTTCCTGAAGTGGCCACCATCCCATCTGCCCTGCTCTCACTTCCATTATTTTTGAGGAGTGAAAACATCCAGGAGCACTCTGAATAAATTCTTTGTTCTCCACATTCCAAACTTGGCTCTGTCTGAGGTGTGTGTTAACCGGAATCCATGATTTGGCCCACAGTTTGAAAGATGAGCCTAAGAAAGCGTTGTTTACAGAAGGACCATTTTTCCTTTCCATGCTATTTTCTTTCTCTTTAGAACAATCATGCTTTTACAAGTGAAACTGTTTTTATGTCATTTCTTTATAAGATATCCCACACAATGAAATAGCAGGTTAGAGTTCAATTCTACATTGAGCTTTATTTTTGCAGTAGAAACTAAAGCTTGGTGCTGGACGTAGTGACTTCCAAAAGCAAAAAAAAAAAAAAAAAAAAAAAAATATGCCTGTAATTGTCATCCTCGAATCCAGGAAGCTGTTAGTGCTAGAGAATGCCTCAGCTCCAGTGTGGCTCTCCTCTGGGTGTCCCTCTGTCTGCCTTTCATCTTAAGGGCATCAGAGGAAAGGGAGTCTGAGTGAGAGCCCCCTGCGCAGCCCTGGGGTCTCAACTGGACAGAGTGAGGCTCCTGTAGTTAGCGGGAATCTAACCTCCGTTCAGTCCTCTTGAAAGATTGTTAGTTTCAGATCCTCTTCAGGACCTGGGCTAGGATTTCAGACCTTGCAGTGGGGCGTGCAGGTGACTTGCAAGACTTAGCCCCTCATTTTCCGGATATTTGGGTTATTTGGCTCTTCTTCATCTTGAAGTTTGTGGGAATTGGATGTCCTTTAGTGAAAACTTAAAAGAGTTAGGTTCCTATTCCATGACTTAATACTTTAGGAAAACATTGTTTTTAAAATTTTAACTTTGAGTCATAAATGGAAGCAACTAGTTGAGAGACTTGCTTAGCGTTTCTAATTTGCTGCATTTTGTTCTCTATTGTGAAGCAAATGGATGCAGTAACAGATAACCCATTTTCCATGTCAGTAGAATAAAGTCTAATTGTGTTTGGTTTAAGTAGATGCACTTATATTCTCCAGGTAGTCTTTTGAGTACAGAGTTCTGTATATTTGCGAGGGTAATATATAATAGCAGAATTAATATTCATTCATCAAGGATTGGTAGTGGGATACAATCACTGTTTGGTTCTCAAATCGATGGGGTTGTGTGAGGGGAGAATTGACATAACTGTGACTGTAGCACATTAAACCGCACACCTTACTAAGTTCAGACATAGTTTAGGGCCGTTAGTGACCCCTGACTTCCCTTCGCATGCTCAGAAAGGGTCAGCCATGTCCAGGATTCTGCATAAGCAATAAGCATCATACTATAAAGGGGGATTTCCCTCTTTATTTATAAGAAGTATTCCCAGCTGTGTATAACCGTTTGCTGTTGGGCTTTCTTGGCCATCGCCACGAGGTGTCTCCTGGGCGTCTGCTGTCCCGTCCCTGAGGCCTCAGGGCACAGGCAGGCTCCTGAACTGCATGGGGGCGGACTCAGAGCATCAGTCTTGGGCCCATTCAGTCTTTGTTTTTAAGGAATGCTTTAAAGTTTATTTTACTTTTTTTATTTTTTTTTGGTTTATGTTTTATTTTCTTGTACAAGTTCCATGCTAATCATCATGGTGTTTTCCACTTTCAGACAATTTTTAAAATCAGATATTTATTTATGCATACAAGAACTGGGGTATAGGCCAGAGGTGCTGGGAATGAGCGGATTCACCAGAGACAAAGTGGAGAGCAGAATAGGCAGATCTGGAACGCACTGCTGAGGGGAGCAGCTGGGCGAGACAGGAGAGGTCTGCTGCACCATGTGGGTCAGCTCCCTCCCTGGCCGGGGATCAAGCTCGTGCTGCAGTGACCGTGCTGCAGTGACCGTGGATAGCTTCATAGTGCTGCGCTTCAACCCCTGTGTCCTTCCTTTGTTTAGAGCGGTGGCGAGTGGTGGCTGTTGTTCAAAGTTGCAGGATCTGAACTTTTCATACACTGCTCAGTCAGACCACAGTTGTGTGTCCTCATGTGAGGAACCTTCAAAAGTGGAACTCAGAGCTTCCCTGGGGTCACTCAGGCCATCACCATCAAACTCCATGTTTGTAACGCCACCGCTAGTGGTCCTCATGCTCCCTTCAAACTCCTATTTCTTGTCTTCCAGACCTTTACTCTTACATATTTTTTTGTCAGCGCTCTGCATCTTTCTCATCACCCCAATACTTCCTGTCCCCCACAGTTCCTGGTTTTTCCTTTAATCTCACACACACAGTATCTCCTCATGTTTCTTTCAGTTGCCTCAGCTCACTCATTAGCTGGCCTGCCGCACAGCTGTGCCTGCATGGGACGACCTGTCTCGTCCTCACAAATCCAGAGTGATTTCAGCCTCACTGCTGCCCCGGCTTCACCTCTGTCTTCTCCAGGGCTTGCCACCCTGGGGAACAGATTGGCCCCAACCCGGATGGGCAGCCCAAGCGAGGTGGGATTGGTGATCTCCTCCCCTCGCCTCATCCACATTTCCACACCCTACATTATGGAGGACAGCTGAGCTTCCCTCACGGCCCCAGCTTTATACTCCTCCCTGTTACTTCACACTAAAATGTTTCTGATCAAAACAGCCTCCAAGCTCGCTTCCTGGCCTCCTGCTTTTCCCTACCCCATGCTACATCTTGCATGTGATGCTCTCCTAAAATGGAGATGATCTGGGGCAGGTCCTTCCCGACAGCCTCTGCACTGCTTTTGGAGTTGTCTAGCCCCCGTGCTCCTGCGAGATTCCTGCCAGGCTCTGTCTCTCACTTTCCCGGCCACTCCAGGCGGTGGGCTGCAAGTGTCTCTGTTGCCGAGTTTGCTCCATCTTTTGATGCCTTATAAGACAACTTTGCTTGGCATGCCTGCCGTCCATACCCTGCTTGGTAGCTTAACCAACACCAGCATCTTACACCCTTTCAAAGTCTCCTATAACTTCTCAAAACATCCTCCTCCCTCCTCTATCTTAATTGCCCCTCCTGGGAATGTTCTTGTCACTGAATATCTATTTTCTTTGCTGAATTTACTAACACTTCATTTTAATCTGTCCATTTTTTCAACTTGAAGTGGGCTGCCTGATTCATCATCACATCCCAAGGACCAGCCACTGACTGGCACCTCAGCTAGCTTGCAGCACATTTGTTAAAACTTCGTTTTGGTAAATAAGCCAATAAGCAAACGAACTTACTGCTTTCTTTTAGAGAAGTGGGAACAGAAGTAAATTAAGGTAGGAAAAATAAAATCTAAAACATTTTGTGGTAAAATAAACTCACCTGCATTGTACCATATCTAAGTGACCGGTTACTTCCAAGTGGCGCCTTCGTGGCACTTGCACACATCTGTGTCATTACGTGGCCTTCCCCAGATCCTCGTCCAGAATCTTTTCATTTCCCCACGCCAACACCCTCCCATTATCAACAACAGCTGTTCCCCTCCTCCAGGAGAAAATCAGTTAGAGGAGGAGAGCAAAGCTTCCGTGGTCTGCAAGTTCACATGTCTAGATTATGGTACAAAGAGGTTTCCTGTTTAGCATTTGGGAACTGGACTTGGTAGCTTGATCTTGGCTCACCTCCAGGTCCCTCCTTTACAAACTCCAGTGACCCAGAGAGTAAGGCTGCTGCAGCCAGGCGCCCAGCCCAGGCGCTACAGATGCTCTGGTCCCCCTCAGCCTCAGCAGTCGCCACTCTGCACTCA